TTCCAGTTCCAAACAAGGCTGGACTCTGCTGTTCACGTTTAGTCCCCCACGACAGGAAAAGCTTAACGTAAAAAGATGTATCTCTTAATGAGCCTCATGATGTTATTTCAATGTAAGTGATTATTCATCCAATAAATTGAGGGAACAGCCATCATTTACGCTTTATTTTCTTTTAGAGAAAAAAACACTTTCTTTCTCCTTCTCGGTAACAATTGCCCTGTTTACTGACCTGTTCCCTTTCTCAGATGTGAAGACAGCGAGGGTCAAACAGACGCCCAGCTGTGTCTCCAGGTCCCTCGGGAAGGCAGTCGAGTTGAAATGCACGATGGAGGGTGAGAGTAGCGGTTACATGTACCGGTACAGACAATACCCGGGAAAGGAGCTGCAGCTTATGTTTTATTCTGCAGCTGCAGAAAATGTGAATGAAGAAGGAGCTGCGGACGGTTTCACCGCTAAGCGAACGAGTGGCTCTGACTTTAACCTGGAGTCTCGCAGCCTGCAGGCGCATCACTCGGCTGTTTATTACTGCGCCTGGAGTGCTCACAGCGACTCAAGAGAAACGGAGCAGCTCAACAAAAACCCCAAAGATAGCAAGAAGCAGCTGTCAATGATATCGCTCATACTTTCATCCTGTTGAGGAAGCCCTTGCATCCTTAAACCCCAGCTCTCTCCCCTCCCCACTTAGAGAGACAGGACAGATGTACAGCCGGAGATTTTTTTTTAAAATGACGTTACAGCAATGATACTAGAGTTGAGGGATTAGAACATAGATCAGTACAGCACAGTACAGGCCCTTCAGCCCACGATGTTGTGCCGAACTTTTACCCGAAACCTAAGGTCTATCTAACCTCCACCCCTACCTTATACTATCATCCATATGCCTATCTAATAGCCGTTTAAATGCCCCTAATGAGGCCGACTCTACTACCCTCTCGGTCAATGCATTCCACGCCCCCACCACTCTCTGAGTAAAGAACCTACCTCTGACGTGTCCCCTATATCTACCTCCACTCACTTTAAAATTATGCCCCCCTCATAATAGCTACCTCCACCCTAGGAAAAATCCTCTGGCTATCCACTCTATCTATACCTCTGATCATTTTGTACACCTCTATCAAGTTACCTCTCATCGTTCGTCGTTCTAAAGAGAAAAGCCCTGGCTCTCTCAACCTTTCCTCGTAAGGCCGTCCCTCCATTCCAGGCAACATCCTGGTAAATCTCCTCTGCACCTTTTCCAACGCTTCCACATCTTTCCTGTAATGAGGCGACCAGAACTGAACACAATACTCCAGATGTGGCCGAACCAGGATTATAACTATCGGAAAGAACTGAATGACATAGACGAGCATTTTGCTGTATCTAACTCCTTCCTGACAACATGCATTTGTTTCTGGCCTCAACACGTTTCTGATTGAGAGAATTCCATAGGGTCATTATTCTCTGGATGCAGAAATTTCCCTTCATGTCAGTTCTAAATGGCCTAACCTGTATCATTAAACTGTGGCCCTGGTTCTGGACTCCTTGATCATTGGAAACGCGTTTGTGTTGCTATTTTATAGATTTCTATGAGATTCCATCCCCATCCCGGTCAAACCCCCTCAAAATATATTAAGAAGATAGTCTAGACCCTAGCTTTTTCTTATTTTAAAGGTAAGTCGTTGCGTTTCGGATGCAATTTGATTGGTCAAACTACTCGATGCAAGCAAACTTCATTTTTACACTACAGTTAAAGTACAGGCAAAATAAAAACAAAATTGGTTTAACTGTAACCTCATCGAAATGCTTAACAAAACAATATATATAACTATTAATAATGAAGTGTTCCAATATAGTAATATGCCATGTACACGCCCTTGGCAAAGGTAAATTCAGTAAAATAGATTGTCTCACGTGCAATTCTAGCAGCAGGAACAGAACCCCAGCTTTTAACTGTAAGAGACAGAGGAAGAAGCGTTTCCACCTTCAACACTCCAGCAACTGCTGAAAGCTAAATCTAAAAATCCTTTTTCTGTAGGAGCTTGGCCCTACCCACTCAGACTGTTTCTATTGTTCCAACCTTAAAACAAAGGCCCAAGGTCTCACTAGCTATTTACTTCATTGATTTTGCGCCTCTGTCTCAACCTTCTTCATTAAAAAGCAGGACAAAACACAACTCTTCAAGCCATAATATCATGACACCACCCCTCTTTTAAAAAATGAACCATCAATATGGCTTCATTTTTCATAGCCTTTAGTTTTATGCTATGAAAAAACTACAATACGTTACATTGACTCATGCAGATATGCAGATAAAAGCATGCAGATATTCACTACTATAGTCCATTTCAGTCCGTTTTTCCTGCCACCGAATGCCTCTGTCTTCCTTCATTAAAGTCACGACAATGCATCGGCAATTATGTTCCCTCGCCCTGCCACAACTATAATTTTCAAATTGAATGGATGCAATAATAAGCTCTACACTAAGCAGTTTGGATTTTTTATCCCTATATTTTCCAAAAACTTTAAGGGGTTATGATCAGTATATACAACTGTCTCAGACACATTACCAGCAATATAAAGACAACACAGCTGGAGGAACACAGCAGGTCATGCAACATCTGAGGAGTAGGAAAGTCGACGTTTCCAGTCGGGACTCTTCTTCAGAACTCCGTATTTGGAGACTCTGGATGTACTGCAGGTAGTGGTTGTCGTGATTTGGGCCAAATTGGGATGGCTTAAATGTTGTTTGGAGTCCATTGGGGATGATCTAGCTGCGTGGGCAGGTACCTAGAAAGGAGCTGTGGCTGTAATACCGGGTTTGTTTGAGTATGTAGTGGAAGAACTTCAGGGCGGAGGAGATTACCAGTGGGTTGCGGTGGGAGAGAGATCCACTTAGATCTTTCCAGAGGGAGGAGGACAACTTCTTCAAGGTAGGCATCCTTGGAAGAAGCTTCACGGTGGAAGTCGACTTTCCTACTCCTCTGATGCTGCCTGACCCGATGTGTTCCTCCAGCTCCACACTGTGTTGTCTCTGACTCCAGCGTCTGCAGTTCTTGTTATCTACTAGCAATACAAATGTTGCAATGCCAACACCAAGCTGAGGTGACACAGCGCTTAGCAGTGCTTAGCACGGCTGCCTCACAGCACCAGGAACATGGGTTCGACTCCAGCCTCGAGTCTGGCGTCTGTGTGGAGTTTGTACATTCTCCCCGTGTTTGCGTGGGTTTCCTCCGGGTGCTCCAGTTTCCTCCCACAGTCCAAAGATGTGCAGTTTAGGGTAGATTGGCCACGGGATAGGGTAGAGGAGTTGGTTTGCGTTGGATTCTATTTGAAGGGTTGGTATGACTTGATGGGTCGAGTGGCCTGTTTCCACGCAGTAGGAATTCTATGAACCTCAAGGTCTCCTCAATTGTGGAATATTTCTGGTGATGATTATTTAATTTTCTGGAAGAATACCCAATAGATCTTTCCATTTTTGGTTTGTTTGCTGGTTAGGGTCAAACTCCAATTTTTTTCTTCATGTGCTACTGTAGAGAACCGAACTGTTTTAGTGACTATGTTTGAAATAAAGGTATAGTTAGGGATAAAGTATATTTTTTGAAATAAAAAATGGAAACAGAAAAGCGACCTTTTCAGTTCCTCCAAACTGCTATTCTGGATAAGAAGTCGTGTTACGTCTACTTGTCAATGCACTTGTGACTAATTGGGAATCCAGACGTGATTGCTTGCATTTTCATTAACATAGTCTGAGGAGGAATTTCAAACAAACAAGCACGCTAATTCTGAGACAACAAGGTGTAGAGCTGGATGAACACAGCAAGCCAAGCAGCATCAGAGGAGCAGGAAGGCTGACGTTTTGGGCCTCGATCCTTCTTCAGCACGCTAATTCTGATTGGATAGAACGAGGTAGAGATTCCTCAGAAAGCGTTTGCCTCATTACAAGATCCCAAATTCCTGTTCTCGATACGTCCCTTTTTAAGGGGATAACACCGTGTGGAACTGGAGGAACACAGCAGGCCACGCAGCATCAGAGGAGCAGGAAAGTTGACGTTTCGGAACCCTTCTTCAGAAATGGGGGAGGGGCAAGGGAGCTCCGAAATAAATAGAGGAGGTGTGGGGCTGGTGAAGGTAGACTTCGGAGCTCCCTTTCCCCTCCCCCATTTCTGAAGAAGAGTCCCGACCCGAAACGTCAACTTTCCTGCTCTTCTAAAGCTGCCTGGCCTGCTGTGTTCCTCCAGCTCCGTACTGCGTTATTTCTGACTCCAGCATCGGCAGTGCTTACTATCTCTGAGCTTATTAAGGGAAAATTGGAGACACAAGATGTATCTGTTACTGGGCATTATGATCATATTTCACTGGAAGAAGGTCTACAAACGATATTTTCTGTTGTTCACCTTTACTTTCTACTTTGCTTTTTATGTTTCTCTCATACTCTCACCTCCCTTTCGTTTTTCAACGTTGACCTGAATGTTCCAATTTACTAGTTTTCTTTGTCCTAGTTGCCGACTCGCAGACTATCCAACAGACTCCCACAGCTGTCTCCAGCAATCCTCGGGAGAGAGTAGAACTGAATTGCACTGTGCTGGGTACCAGCGATCCTTACATTTACTGGTACAGGCAACTCCCGGGGTAAGGGCCGCAGCTGATGTTTCACTCCCTTACTGAACAAAGCGTGATTCCTAAGAAGCCGGTGGACGGTTTTACCGCCTACAGACCGAGTGACTCTGAGTTCTACCTGAAGACCTCCAGCCTATGGCTAAATCACTCGGCCATGTACTACTGCGCCTGGAGTGCTCACAGTGACTCAGAGAGATGGAGCAGTACAACAAAAACCCCAAAGTTGGCAGGAAACAGCTGTTTTCGTCAAAACAGTGCTTTGCCTTGATCCGCTGTATTTGCTTGCAGAGCGAACATGTTTTTCAATGTGAGAGAAGAGTTACTGGAAGCTAAATTGAGGAATACTGAGAAGCGTGAAAAGGGAACTGCACAAGGAGGTTCCCAGAAATGAGAAACTACAAGAAAGACTCAAAGTGATCATTTCATTTGTGTTGAAACTGCAACATTGAGAACAAAACTAAAAAAGCTCTTTATAATTATGAAAAGGTTGCTATCAGAAAATGTTTCTGATCTGGAAGGCCAGGACCAGAATAAGTATGAGTCACAAATAATCCTAAAAGGAAATCCAGGAGAAACACGGCGAGTGTAAAATAAAGGGATATAAAATTAAATAAAATTCTACAGGATGTGCAGGAGCAGTGTGACCTGCGTGTACGTGTGTGTAAGTCATTAAAGGTGATGGAGGGAGCCGTTATTTAAAAGTACAGTATTCTAGTCTTCGTAAATAGGGGAGATAAAGTGCAAGAGCAGGGTGATTCTTATGGATTTATTTAAGGCAAAGGTTAGATCTCAGCTGCAGCAGTGTGAACAGTTCTGGGCTTGAAGCTGTGAATGCAATCGAGAGAGTGCAGAAGAGGTTTATGAGAATAGTTCCAGGGATGTAACATTTCACTTCTGAGGATAGACTGACAAAATTAGAACTGGTCTCCTTGGTGAGGAGAAGGCAAACGAAGATTTGATAGAAGTTTTGAAAATCGAGGCATGTTGACAGAGTAGATAGGGAGAAATAGTTCCCACTTAGAAAATGATCGAGAACCACAGGGTACACTTCAAAGGTGTTTTGCAAAAGAAGCAATTACGAGCCGAGGAAAAACTTTTCAACACAGCGAGTAATTAGGATATGGAAGGCACTACTTGAAATTATGGCGGAGGCAAGTTTTACTGAGGTACTCAAGAGGGAGTTAGACGTTTATTTAACAGAAACAATGGGCAGGGTTATGAGGAAACAACAGAAGACTTTTAACGAAGTTAAAATGCTCGGAAAGCCTCGCAGACTCGATGGGCTGAATGGCTTCTTTTTACATTGTAATGATCCTGTGATTTGAACGTGAAACTCCTACAAAGAGGTTGGAGAAAACAGAGTGGTGCATTAAATATGTTGGTGTGAGGTTTAGAAACAGGTGGCAGCAAAATTTAACAAGGTTATATGATCATACATTGCTGGGTCCAGCATGATTTCCTTGGGTTGAGCTCGTTCAGCCAGTAGACCTTGCCCGTTTTGAACGGTTGGCGAATTTCGGTCTGCATAAAACACATGACAACAACACATATGGAAAGAAAGAAAACAAAAGAACTGGTGATTTCTTTCAGCAATTGTACAACCCAGCGCGTTCTTGGACGATGTTACACAGCAAGAACCCAGGCACAGAAAGAGATCGTAAACCTCTTAAGAGTCCCCTCCACCACTCTAATGAGGTTAGAGCTGGTTATTAACTTAGATGCATTAATCCAGCTCCCACCTAAATATTACTCGTGTCAAAGTGGTAAAACAAAACTTCAACGTTTTTCACCCTCAATTTTCTTTACTCAACACAGACAATTTGGTGTAAATTGTCCTTATTATTAAATCCTTAAAGCCCTGTATCATTCTGCTGAATCCACTAAGCACTCCCTCTAAGTCGAATACATCCTCCCTGTGTTATGTGCCCAGGACTGACATATACTTTCTAAGTGGAATCTGCTCAGTATTCTCAATAATAACTTCTTCTATGTTGAATTCCGTTCTCTTGAAATAGAGGCTAGCCTTTGATTAGATTTCATGGTGTATTCTAAAATTATCCGGAAGTTCCATACGAATTACGGTGGGAGACAATTAAATGCATTCGCACCTGCAGAATTACTTGTTTTCCACCAATTTGTAGTACACTGACTTCTCTTGCTTTGGCAGATCGTGGATAACCTGAGAGATGTCCATGTTAAACTATCCGCTCCTGCTTTGTCCACCCTACTTCTACTGCTACTTTGAAACCTCCCGCTCAATTCTACGTTCCTTCAGCCAATCACGGAGGATGGGGTGCGATTTTCAGACAGAGTGGGAGGGGTATGTTATTCAAACCTGCATCACTTCCTTGTTCCCTTTATATTTTCTAAGTCATTTGAAAGCTTTCGTTTGATTGGATTTTGTTCATTTGACTATTTTTCGGGTTACAAGAAAATTTGCATATGCATCTGTTACTGAGTCTCATGATTTTATTTCGATGTGTGATATTTTTATCAGTTCCTTTCTTAACGTTATAATTTGTTTCATTTATCTTTCTCCAACTACTGGACTGACATTCTATTCTCTCCATCTCTTCCTCAGACGGGAACTCACCAACAGTCCACCAGACACCCCCATCTGTTCCCAATATTATTAAGGAGAGAGTGGAACTGAAGTGCATTGTAGAGTTGGCCAGCAATGATTATATGTACTGGTACATACAATACCCGGGGAAGGAGCTATAGCTGATGCTTTACTCCAGTACTGCAGAGTATTTGATTCCAGAGTGGACGGTTTCACCGCTGAGCGACCAAATACCTGAGACCAACCTGAAGTCCTCCAGCCTCCGAGAGAATCACTCGGCCGTATTTTCTTGCGCCCGGACACTAACTCAGAGAGAGAATGCAGCTCAATAAAAACTGCCAAAGACAACAGGAAAGAGCTGTATATGACAAAAGCAGACACAGCTTTGTTCATCTTTTGAAGAGTGACCGTGTCGATTACAATGAGAATAGGCTGCTCGAATAAATAAAACAAAATGTAGATATAAAGGCATTGGAATTGGATTAATAAAGATGAGTCCGCAACTGAAAGTCGATGACTGTTGTCGAGTGGAACTGTACTGTTTTTTTTTCTCCACAGAATCAGCAGATGGCACTCGAGGTCACATTGTTACTCAAGGCCATAGATAGAGGAGGAGGCTATTCAGCTGGGACGGAAAGAAAGACCATTCGTTTTTCATGGATTTATCCCGGAAACGTGGGAACTGCTCAGCTTTTCTTGAAGTTATTACTCCGGAATATCAGGAGATTATTTAACTATTTGCATCTATGAAGGGATGGATTCCATGCCTTGAGATTTTTCAGTAATCGTGGCACATCCAGTTCTTTGCTCTTTCTCCCCGTCATATTTATTACCTCGCAAAGTGTTGCAAGCAAAATTTACCAGCATGAAGGTTGAAACCTTCAATTGAACCCACAACCTCGTGGGCATTTTGCTGGTGCAGACTTCCACTTTGTATGATCTTTGCTCTTATTTGTCTGTATGGTATCTAACTGCAATTAGTCTCTAAAATGTTGCTGTTTGAGTCCTAGCTGTTTCCAATTTAAAATAAAAACTGCAACTTCAGAAATTTCTGGCCACCACACTGGCAGCTGCACGCTTGAATAACACTTTGTAATGGCTAAATGATCTAGATGAATTCTCTGAAGAGTTTCAGATATTATTGCTCCTGGTATCACTAATTACTCTTCGAAAGTCAGTGATGACAGTAAGGTATCTACACAGCTCCAATTAGTGACAGAAAATGGAAGTTTTTATGCTACAGTCTTGGGCAACTCCATCGAGAACTTAAGATACATTCTACATACTTATCAAGATATATTCTACATCACGGTTTTGAGCTTCCTGAAATTTGTACTTTTCTTTCTGTCGGTGGTAAATCTCTTGTGATATCTGAGATTTCGACTTCAATTTCTGAAATGAAGTCGAAATGTGTTTTCAATCTGCAATACCTTGAATGGTATCTGGTACTTCACCTGCACTGTTTCAATGGCTGAGCCATACCTCATCAGCCTCAATTGAATTCTGAGGTGGCGTCTTAGTTGTCTCTATTTCGTATTCAGCAGAGTGACCAATGGTTTATAGTCGGTTTCAACCTTAAACAATAATTAGAGTTGTTGGTTGGTTCGCCAATCTGACTGGTTTTCATGCAAACGTTTCATATCCCTTGTAGGTGACAGCACCATCAGTCCGTTGAAGGGCTAGACAGCACTGACGATGTCACCTAGAAAGCAAACGAAATGTTTGCATGAAAACCACTCAGCTCCACGAACCAACCAACAACTCCAACCACAAACCGGGCTACAGATCTTCGTTAAAACCTTAGACGATAATCTTATGATATAATCTGAAGTTTTTTTGCACACCCACGCTAAAATCTCCGCTTCAATCCATGCATATTGCTGATCCGTCTCAACGAGTGGTCTAGAAGCATAATGGACAGGCTTCTGCTTTTCATCTTCCTTTACCTCGAAGAGTACTGTCCCCAATCCTGGTGAAAATGCATTGGGTGCTATTATGGTCACAAGCTGTGGATCAGTATATGCCAGAACTTCTAATCATGAATTGCCTGACTTAATCACTCTTTTCACTGTCAACCTTCGTGTGCTCCCTGTCTCAAAGACCCATTTGCTTCTGCCACATTTGGCAATGGCATTTCACAGAAACATAGAAAATAGGAGCAGGAGGGAGCTATTCGGCCCTTCGAGCCTGTTCCGCCATTCTTCACAATTATGGCTGATCGTCTGACTCAATAACCTAATTCTACTTCCTCCCCATAACCTCTGATTCCATTCGGCCCAAGTGCTATATGTAATCGCCTTTTGAACACATTCAACTACTTCCTGTGGTAATGAATTCCACATGCTCACAACTCCACTTGGTACACCTTCGAGGGAATATTTGAAACTCCGTAATTTGCTGGTGATGGAAAATCTTTATTAGAACATAAAACCATAAGACCATAAGACATAGGAGTAGAAATTAGGCCATTCGGCCCATCGAGTCTGCTCCGCCATTCAATCATGGCTGATAAGTTCCTCAACCCTACTCTCCTGCTTTCTCCCCGTAACCCTTGATCCCCTTGATAATCATGAACCTGTCTATCTCAGTCTTAAATGTACTCAATGACCTGGCCTCCACAGCCTTCTGTGGCAGTGAATTCCATAGATTCACCACTCTCTGGCTGAAGCTGTTTGTCCTTATCTCCATTCTAACAGGTCATCCCTTTTCTCTAAGTCTGTGCCCTCAGGTCCTAGTCTCTCCTACCAATGGAAGCATCTTCCCAACATCCACTTTGTCCAGGCCATTCAGTATTATATAAGTTTCAATTAGACCACGCCCCCATCCTTCTAAACTCCAATAAATATAGTCCCAGTATTGGTCGTGGTATTCTGGGGTTGACTGGGATACCGGGAGCTTGGAGTTTGTGCAAACTCGCACTTCTTATTCAACATTGGAGTTGCAATCTGAAGTAATCCCCTGACTGCCCTAACTCTTCAGTCATGTTCTCCAAGGTGGTGCCATGTCGTATATGTGACATATTACACCATCAACGCACACCCATCAGTTTGTAGGAATGCTTTGGCAAATTCCAGGGGCATATGCTATTTAAAGTGGTTGACTTCTTTAATTGATATCACCTTAAACGGTGAGACAAAGTTAGTCAGATTTCTGGAATCTGCATTTAGGGGTTTTGCTGGAAACAACTGTTGTATCCATTTTGGTGAATAGCGTTCTCTTGCTAGATTTTCACCTATTGAAGGTCAACCTGGAAAGTTAAAATATGCGTTTAACCAATTAAACAAAACAGTGGACCGTTAGCTTTGGCTAAATGTCATTGCTTTTGATTCAGATTATTACTGTCCCAGTAGAATTAGGAACTGTAGCCATTACTGAACACTGACCTCTCGAAACTGTAACCAGTGAAATTACACCTTGTCTAAGTCGATAATATTTTTAGAACTTATACAGAAGTGGATGCGACCTTTGTAGTGTGACAGTGGGTTGGTTTTACATTCTCTCTGAGGCATTGTGATATTTTATCTTCAATTTTCCCAAACCTATCAACCATCTTGGGAACTCCCTTCCAAAATCACTCCTCGATCTTCACCTGCCATTCCTGTGAATTAACTTCATCTTTAAGCACATATTCCTTAATTAAGTAGGGGAACATTTCTGGATGTCAAACTGAGACTCTGTTGTTTCTTTTGAATCTGGCCTTCGATGTGATACGGCCCTTTGAGTTAATTTCCTCCAAGTCCCCGTTATTTAATTGAGGAACGTTGCAATGTTTTCTTTTAAAGCCACGGAAACTGGCCTGATAACACCGAGACACTGTCTGCTAACCAGCTTAACACACTTTAGAATTTATTTCCAGAATTGTTTATTTCTCCCATAAATATTGAACTTTTAGGAGTTTATGGCGTTTCCACTTCATAGACCTGCTTTAGTTCCACAGACATTGCCTGTTCATTAACTTCAACACACTGGACCTGGTGTGCTCTGAAACCCCTAGAAAGTAAAGTGGTCAACATTTTATCTGGTGTGGGTTGGAATTAGAGATTCCAACACAGTGGAGATTCTAGTCACTGTCTGCTTCATGGAATGTGTTGGAAATTGGGGTCCCCCTAAAGGCGAATTTTCCTATTTTTCCTATTCAGCATGAAATATAATTTCGCTGTAGCTAGAGCAGTAACTGGCTTTCTAAACTTCCAAATCCAGATGAAGATAGAGCAAAGACTGTGTGAAGACTCAAGGAAGAATTTCCTACACTTAAGATGGAGAATAGGATATTTTCTTCAACGTACTTTAATGAGAACGACCATAGTCTGTGCCAACAGCCTGTTTATTCGCTAGCAGCTTTATCATAGGCTACGTATTCTTCTTTGTATGGTTAATAAATAATTTACTTAATGTATTACTATTCTCGTCTAAATGTATTAAACGTATCTCTAAACGTATTGATTACTTTATATTAGCTAAATTGTTGCTTCTTATACTCAACAAACTATCTGGAAATTCTTTTCACACAAATATACAGCGAGAGAGAGAGCGGTGGGGGGAGAGAGAGAGAATTATTTACAAGTAGCCGGCTTCATAGATCTCGGTTACTGTTGTGACGAGCTCGCAAAACCTAACACAGGATCTTATCAGAAAATGCCCATCTTTGAAAGGTCTAATATGAAGGGTATTGCGTCCCCCGCCCCAACTTCTCTACCACACCCCCCACCTCCCCACGCGGACTTTGAACACTTCGCTGGCACACTGCAGCAAGCCTGAGAGAGAGATGTTGGCCAGGGAGCAGGGTGGTGTGTTAAAGTGACAGGCAACTGGAAGCTCAGGATCTTTGTACCTAGGTACCTTGCTAGCTAAGATAGCGCTGTTAAGTGGTAACTTGTAAACTCTTCACTGTACTCGTGTGAGTATATGTGCCAATAAAGCTAATTCTAAATTCTCAAATTCTCTATTCAACACCTAACATTCGTTTACACAGGATTCCCTCCTCCTGTTCACTTTTTGTCCTCTTTCTATTTCTCTTAATTTAACTTTCTTTTCCCTCCTTCTTTTCTTGTTTCTCCACGGTTCACGGTGTTGTTATTTTCCGACGACTTCCTATCCCTGCCTTTTCTACAGCTGTGAGGTCGCTCACTCCGCCAGTTTCCCTTCGCCGTCTCCAAATGACCTGGGAATAGAGTGAAATGCAATGTACCTTTGAGAGGAGTGGTGCCTTTGATGTTGACGAAAGCAGACAATCCTTGGGAACGGTGCTGCGCTTCTCATTTCACTTTGGTGCTGCATATCATGTGAATCCACGGAGCCAGTGGATGGTTTCACCGCCGAGCGACCAACAGGTTCCAAGTTTAGTTGAAGACCGCACGCCTCGAGGTGAATCATTTGGCCAGATTATTGTGTTCACAGTGACAGAGATGTGAGCAGGCCAACAAAAACCCCAAAGATGGCAGAAATATCTGTTTAATTCAAAAAACATACATTACTATGAGTTCACAGGGAATGTTAACAGAAGACATAAGGGAAGTCTTTAAACTAGGGTTGTAAGAAGGATCCCGACCCGAATCGTTGACTTTTCTACTCCTCTGATGCTGCCTTACCTACTGTGTTCCTCCAGCTCCACACTGTGTTGACTCTGACTCCAGCATCTGCAGTTCCTACTATTTCTTTAAAATTCTGACATGGAATGCAGGGGGTAAACGGTCAGCTGCACATAAATTCAGAAGTAGATGTTATAAAGATGAAATGGGAAGGCGTTGACATATTGGGATTGTGTCTAGATCACTGCATTGGAATTTGAATTTAAAACAAGTGGTGTTAAACATATACAAAGCAATTGTGCACCATTGTCTCATCTTCATTAGACCATAAGACATACAGCCAGAAGTAGCCATTCAGCTCATTCAGTCTGCTCCGCCATTCAATGAGATCACGGCTTATCTGTTAAACCTCAAGCCTACTTTCTTGCCTTCTCTCATAACCCTTACTGAAATACAGCGTATCTTAGCCTTGAGTGTACGGAATGACCCAGCTTCAATAGTCCTCTGTGGCAAACAATTCCCTAGATATATGGCTCTGACAACACTCTGGCAATAGCAGTGACGACTTGTGTTCCTGAACTTGCCGCACTCCTGGGCCAACTTGTACTTGTACAGCTGCAGCACTGGCATTTACCTGACAATGTGGAAAGTTGTCTTGGAATATCCTGTACGCACGAAACCGGAACAATCCGACACTGCCAGTCACTGCCTCATCAGTCTACTCTTGATCATCATTAAGGTGATGGAAGTGGTCATAACAGCACTTGTTTAGAAATAACCTGTTTCCTGGCGTTCAGTTTGAATTGAATCAGAGACACTCAGCTCTTGACCTCATTACAACTTTAGTTTAAACTTGGCAAAAATAGCTGAATTCCAGAGGTGATATAAAAACTGCTCTTGGCATCAAGACAGCATGAGTGTGACATCAATTAACCCCTAGCTAAATTATAGTTAATGAGAATCAAAAGGAAACTGTCCATTGGCTGCAGTCACACCTGGCACAAAAGATGACTGTGGTGGTAATTGCAGGCCAGTCATCTCAATCCCAGGACATCACAGCAGGTGATCCTCAGGTTAGTTTTCTCAACCCAACCATCTTCAGCTTCTTCATAAACGACCTTCCTTCCAACATCAGGTCAGAAGTGACGTCGTTCAGCATCATTTGTGACTCATCAGAAAGCGAAGCAGTCAATGTCCATATGCAGGAAGTTTGATGAAACATCAAGATTGTGCTGACAAGTGGCAATTAATATCCCCATCACACAAACGCCAGACAAACATCATCTCCAACAACAGACAATCGAACCATCACTGCCTAGCACTCAAAGACATTACCATCACTGAATCAGCCACTACCAACAGGCCCGAATTGACCAGAAATAAAATTGGACTATTCATATGAATTCATATCAGCAGCAGGTCAAAGTTGAGGAATTCTGCTCAGAACAATTCACTTCATGTTTCCTCAAAGCATGCCGACCATTTACAAGGCACGAGGTGCACGGGAGTGTGATGGAATATGTCCCAATTGCCTGGATGGGTGCACTCCAACAATGCTCAAGGTCGAAACCATCCAAGGCAAAGCAAACTGCTTGATCGCACCATGCCTACAACATTTCAGGTTCACTCCCTTTTTCACCAACGGGCAGTGGCAGTAGTGAGCACCATCCAAATGATGCAAAGTTGTAACTCACCAAGGCTTCTTTGACAGTATGTTCCAAACCCACAACTACTACCATCTGGAAGGACAAGGGCAGCAGATGCTTAGGAACACAACCAACCGCAAATGCCCATCCAAGTCATGCAGCATCCTAACTTGGACATATATCATGCTCCTTTACAGGCGCTGGGTCTAACTTTTGCAAACACTCCTTTATAGCACTGTGGGTGGTATCACCACTTCGGTTCAAGAAGACTGTCATATTCTACAGGGTAATTAGGGATGGACAATACATGCTGGCATGACCAACGGCCACCAAGTCCCATGAATAAATAAAAAGGGATAACGAGAGATATTCTTCTTCCAGCACCAGTTCTGATGTATTTGAATGCAATTTAAACCTAGAGATCGGAATCGAATTGAGAGATTTAGGTATGGAGTTGCAAAGTTAGAGAAGCTACAAAATAATTGTACGTTGGTGGTCGATGGACAAAAGGAGCTGATTAAACAAGAAAGAAGGATAGAAATAATCGCAAGAAGACTGAAAGAAGGATGAAGGGAAGAAAGGAAAACCGAAGATGACGAAAATAACAAGACATGGGTTTTTTGTTCTGAAGACAAAAATGCTGGAAATCTCAGCGTGTCAGGCAGCATTCGCAGAGAGAGAGAGCAAGCTAACGTTTCGAGTCTAGATGACTCATGGGGTTTTGTTCTGTGATGCCAATTTATTTCTCCACAGGTTCAACAGAAGGCACTCTTCACCAACGTCTGACCATTTTCGGACAAGAGGAGATGATTCAGCGTTTCTAGAGCCTGTTACAAATGAAGAAGACGAAGCGACTTAGCTCTCATTGCGAGCTTTTTACGCAGAAACGCGAAGAACCCATCTCGATAACGTGAAATAGGAACTCTTTTCCATTCAACCCCATTGGTCGTGTTACATATTCTTAGGAAGAGGCTAATTCGATTCCCCCCCCTCCCCCAACCTACCCCACCCCCGAGGCATCAACACAGGAATAGAGGGGGAAATTTAGCCCACTGAGATATGTTTACTAGAACAGGATGAGGAGGAGGCATTCAACCCATCGCGTTTCTTAGACTGGCTCACCATAAGCTCCTTTCAATTCTTCGAAGCTGTTACACAGGATGTTAGGTTGTAACTTGCCAAGGCAATCATTCAGATAAGACATCTTCAGGCATTCTGTGTGTAAGTGGGAATCCAGATACGTTTACTCGAGTTTTCCTTAAAATAGCTAAAGAGGAATTCAACTTAATTTGCACACTGATTCCGATAGGGTAGAACGGCTAGGGGTGTGTCCACGTTCTTGACATCTTGGGCCTTTGCTGATTGCTATCAGAAGATTCCACGCTCCTCCGACACTTGATTTACTAAGATAAAATTGCAAATACAAGATGTATCTGTTACTTGGTCTATTGATCATCTTCCACAGTAAGCAACTTTTCAAAAGAAAGCTCCTATTTTGATCTTTCTTTACTTTCATTTATTTCGTTTTTTTTTTATATTTTGTTTCGTTCTTTCCATCTCCATCTCCATCTCCTTTTTTCCGTTATCCGATCGAATTTAACGAGTTTTCTCCTCTCTTTGTACAGGGGTAGATTCGCAGACTATTCGCCAGACTCCAGCAGCCGTCTCGAACAATCCTCGGGAAAAAGTCGAACTGAAGTGCACTGTAATGGGTACCAGCAATCCTAACATGTACTGGTACAGGCAACACCCGGGGAGAGAGCCGCAGCTGATGTTTTACTCCGTGCTAACTGCCTCTGTGGATCCAGCGACAGCGGTTGACGGTTTCACCGCCGAGCGACCGAGTAGTTCCGAGTTCTACCTGAAGGCCTCCAGCCTCTGAGTGAATCACTCGGCCGTGTATTACTGCCCCTGGAGTCTTCACAGTGACTCGGAGAGAGGGAGCAGCTCAACAAAAACCCCAAAGACTGCAGGAAATTACTGTTCTGAACAAAACGCTGTACAGGCTGGGCCCGCTGTGTTATTTTGTAGAACGAACATGTTTGTCACATTAAGAATTACTATGCAAGGAGTAGAGCGATTTATTGGCGGGTTTAAGATGAATGCACCCTGTTCTTGAAAATGGAATCAGCAGACCAGGATGATTTTGAACAGTTGACAAAGTTAGCTCTGTGTAAAACATTAAAATACCAAACACAGAAAAAACGAAAGATAGAATCAAAACAGAAACCAACTGATAGTTAGATAAGAACAAATCGAAAGGGAAAAAGTCTTAGGTTTTAGCGCAGAGTCGAAGTTTCCATTCCCAAAATGGTCACCAGAGGTCGCCATAGCACATTGAGGAGCACTGGAGAAGGTGAAAGGAAAAACGAGCGGGAGATTGTCAGGATTAAGACGTTACAATTATCAGGCAAGGCACATTTTTTTTTAATGCGAATGGAACAAGGAGATTGAGTGCAGAACTGATCGGGTGTTGCCTCTACCAGTGCATGTAAGGATCGCTGGTGCTTAGTAAGTTTCTCTTCAGTTCCATTCCTCCCTGAGGATTGTTGGACACCGCTCCTGGAGTCTGGCGCATAGGCTTCGAATCAATGCCTGGGACAAAGACAAATACAAAGAACTGATACAAGGGATACACGTTTAAGGTGAAAGGCAGGAGGTTTAGAGAACACTCGAGGAAAGAAAATCACCTAGAGGGTGTTAGGGAACTGAATAGTTAATAGTTAACGTATAGTTTGAGTTATAGGGACAAGTTGAACAGGCTGGGGCTTTTTTCCCTGAAGCATTGAAGGCCGAGGGGTGACCTTATAGAAATTTACAAAATTCTCAGGGGTGTGGATAGGGTAAATAGACAAGGTCGTTTTCCTAGGGTGGGATTGCATTTAAGGAGCAGTGGCACCTATCTTTCAGATATAGATGAAGATGGTGAGAGGCAAAGATTTAAAAAGGACCTGAGGGGTATTTTTTTCACGCAGAGAATGGTGCGTGTAAGGAGATGGGTACAATAACAACATTTAAAAGGTATCTGGATGGGTGTATGAATAGGAAGGGTTTAGATGGATATGGATCAAATGCTGGCAAATGGGACTATGTTAGATTGGGAAGTATGGTCAGCGTGGAAGAGTTGGACAAAGGGTCTGTTTCTATGCTGTATGACTCTATAACTACGGCTCTATGACTCTTCATTTTCTGGATGAACTCAATCCATTCATGCTGGAGTTATCATTGCATTTAAGGAGAAGCGGCACCTATCTTTCAGAAGAAATGAAGATGGTACAAATCAATCTAAGCAATGCAAAAAAAATGGAGAAGGAAGAAGAAAGCAACGATGAAAAAAGAGAATGGCTGGTGAAAGAACAATAGAGAAGTGGGATAATGGAATGACTGATAACTTCTGAGAAGCTAAAATTCCGTTTATTTCTTCAAATGAACTGTAGATCTCAGAGGAGCAGGAAAGTCGGGTTTCAGGTCGAGACCCTTCTTCAGGACTTTGCTGTTTCTTCAGCTCCACATTGTATCGACTCTGACCCTCTGAGGCTGCCTGACCTGCTGTGCTCCTTCAGCTCCACACTGTATCGAATATGACTTCCAGCATCTGCAGTTCTTGCTATCTTTCGTAAAGATCAATGTCAGTTTTGAAATGTAAAATTGACCCCAGCTACCCACAACTATTTGCCTGGTGATGGTTCCAGATTTTCATCATTTTCTATGCGGCAAAATACTCCTGACATCACCATCATTGAAAGACGTGGTTATTTCTGTGAAGTATTGTCTCATGGTTCTGTGTGGAGTTTGCAAGTACTCCCTGTGTCTTTGTGGGTTTCCATCAGGTGCTATGGTTTCCGCCCAGAGTCCAAAGATGTGCAGGTTAAGTAGATTAAACGTAGAAACATAGAAGATAGGAGCAGAGGAGGCTATTTGGCTCTTAGGCCCTGCTCCACCATTCTTCACCATCGTAGCTGATCGTCCAACCCAATAGCCTAATCATGCTTTCTCCCCAATAACCTTTGATTCCATTCGCACCAAGTGCTATATTTTGTCACCTCTTGAATATATTCAATGTTTTGGCATCAACTATTTCCTGTGGTAATGAATTTCACAGGGTCACCATTCTTTGGATGAAAAAAGTCGCCTCATCTCCGTCCTAAATTGTCTACCCTGAATCCTCATATTGTGACCCCTGGTTTTGGATACACCCACCACCGGGAACATCTTCCCTGCATCCACCTTGTCCAGTCCTAATGGACAGGGTAGATGTAGCCATGGTAACTAACAGCGTAGTGCCCAGCAATATGCAGGCGAGGTGGGTTAACTATTTTAAATGTGGGGATAGGGTGGGGTTGCTGCGCCTGGGTAGGGAGCTCTTCAGAGAGTCAGTGCAGTATTGGTGGGCCGAATGGCCAATTTCTGCACTGTAGAGATTTTATTCTATGATTATTTCTATGTTCTGCTTTCTGAAATGCTTCAAAGTCCTTGTTTTGTTAATACATTAATATTTAGTACCGAAGAAAGACAAAGAAATGTTGATTGACTGTTCATCATGGTTCATCTCCTTAGGGCAAGATTTCGTTCTATTGAATGAGTTTTGTCACTCCTTGTAAGTTTAATTCATTTTTCTGGGGAATCTGCCCAGGAGTGATGTTCCTGATGGAAACTGTGCAGAGTTTTCAACAACTGAAGTAGAACAAACTCCGTTTTGTTTTCCAATTTCATTCAATTAAAAATGCTAGCATTTGATTATACTTTATATTATAGTACTTTATAACATTTTTGCGCATGACTATCAGTTTTTAATAATTTGTATATCTGAACAACTATAGTTCTTCACAGAATATACTCCGCTAAGACAATAAGTTCATAAGAAATAGGAACATTATGCCATTCGGCCCCATGAGCCTGTTCACCATTCATTAGGGTCATGGTTGATTCAGCATTTCTCACACCCACTTTCCTGCTTTTCCTCCAACCCTTGATTCCCCTATGCACCAAGGATCAATCTATCCTATCTTTAAATATAAACAAGAACTTTTCCCCTACAAGTCTCTGTGGCAAGGAATTCCAAAGACTCACAACCATCTGAGAGAAAAATTCCTCTTTATCAGTCTTAAATTGGCATCCCTTTATCCTGAGACTGTGCCCTCTGCTCCTAGACTTTCACATGAGGGAAACATCCTCTCAGCTTTTACCCTGTCGAGCTCTGTAAGAATCCTAAATGTTTCAATTAGACCACCTCTCATTCTTCTAAACTCCAGTGAATCGAGCACTAAACCTTTTTGCTTTTGCTCCTAAGACAATCATACTAGGTATCATCTGAGTGAACCTTCTCTGAACTGCCTCCAAAGAAATATTGTCTTTTTTTAAGTAATGGGACCAAAACTGCTCACAGTACTCTAGATGTGGTCTCACTAGCATCTTGTACAGTTGCAGTAAGACGTCCCTACCTTTATATGACAATCCCTTTGCAATAAGGGTCAACGTTCCATTAATCATCCTAATTACCTGCTGCACCGTGTGTTAGCTTTCTGTGTTTTGTGCACAAGTACCCAGAAGTTCCTTTGTATTACAGCTTTCTGCATCTTTCCCTCGTTTAAATAACATTCAGTTCTTTTGTTCTCCCTTCTAAAATGGACAACTTCACCTTATTCCACATTGTATTCAATTTTCCAAGTTTTTGCCCGCTTCCTTAACTTATTGATATTGCTCTGCAAACTGTTTGCATCTCCTTTGTAATTTGCCTTTCCACCTATTTTGACTTGTCTGTAAATTTGACTACCATATATTTGCTTCCCTCCTCCAAGTCATTAATATATATATTGTAAACAGGTCCCATCCCAGCGCTGATCCCTGTGGAACTCCACTGGTTACAGGTTGCCAACCTGAAAAATAATACCTTATCCCCACCTGAAGAAGGGTTCACACACGAAATGTTGACTTTTCTGCTCCTCAGATGCTGTCTGACCTGCTGCGCTTTTCTAGCTCCACATTTTTTTCACTCTAGCTTCCAGTATGTGCAGTCCTTATCTCCACCTGCTGTTTCCTGCACCAATATGCTACCTCAAACACCATCGGCTCTTATCTTATGGCTTAACATTTTGTGAGGTACCTTATCAAACGCCTTCTGGAAGAGCAAATGCAATACATCTACACAGTTCCCTTTATCCACTCTGGTTGAAACTTTCTCGAAGACAGGCACAACGTCCCTTTCATAAGCCATGCTAACTCGTTTTGATTAGATTTTGATTCTCCAAATGTGCTATTACTTCCTTAATAACAGATTTCAGTATTTTTCCATTAATAGATTTTAGGTTAATTGGCTATTGTTGCCCACTTTTTGCCTCCATCCCCTATTGAATAGGACTGTCACATTGACAGTTTTCCAATCCTCCAGTACTTCTCTGGAATCCAAGGATTTTTGGAAATTTACAGCCAAAGCATTCACTATCCTATAGCTACTTGTTTTGAATCCTCGAATGCAAGCCATCAGGGCCAGACAATTTATCTGCCTTTATCTCCGTTAGTTTGCCTAATGCTAGTTCTGTTGTGTTGCTAATAGTACTTAATTAGTCCCCCCCTATTCGTTTCTATTAACGGAATGTTGATGACTTTTTACCAGTTAGAAAGTACTCTCAACTCTCGAATTAGGTTGAATGAAAATGACCTTCGAATTTCCCATATTAAACTACATCTGTCGCTGTTTTGCCCACTCACTTTATTTCAGTATCATTTGAAAACTCCTGCTCTGACATGTTTCGCTTACATCCAATCATGAGGGAGCGGATGTATGATTTCAATAAGCGTAGGAGAACCGTGGCCTTCCACAACTGCATCACTTCCTTAACCCCTTCATATTTAATCAATGACTTGAAAGAGCAGAGAACTTCCACCGAGGCCGAACGCCCTTATTTTCGCTCATATCTCTATTACAAGACCAGCTTACAAGATGTATATCTTATTGACTCTCATCAGCTTATTTCAATGTAAGTGTCTTTTTTCAGATAATATCATTTCTTAACAACCTTTGTTTGTCTTTTCTTTCATTTACTCGTTATTTCTTTCCATATTTCATTCTTACTTTCTTACCTCCTACACTTTACAGATCCACCCCAGTTCTGATTTGGTTCTCTCTCGTTTCTTTTCCCCCAGCCGTGAACGCACAGACCATCCGCCAGGTTCCAACCGCTGTCTCCAAATTACCCAAGGAGAGTGTGAAAATGAAATGTCTTTTCGATGGGAGCAGCAGTAACCCTACAATCTACTGGTACAGACAATACCCGGGGAAGGAGCCGCAGGCGATGTTTTATTCCACTGCAATCGATTACGTGAATCCAGAGGAAGCAGTGGACGGTTTCACTGCCCAGCGACCTACTGGCTTTGAGTTCAGCCTGAAATCCTCCAGCCTGTCGGTGAATCACTCGGCAGTGTATTACTGCGCCTGGCGTGTTCACAGTGACTCAGAGAGCTGGCGCCGCACAACAAAAACCCCAAGGGCTGCAGCTATTTTAGATAACGCTGCGCGGTACCTCCACCCACTTTGTTGAGTTCATGCAAAACAACATGGTCTTGATAATAACAGCCAGTTTACAATGAGCGTTAGTGATTAGATATATAATTGCACTGGGAAAATATGGATCGAAAATTTAAAGCGACTTTGCCAGAACTGAGAGCTTCTGACAACCAAAAAAAAGGAATATGTTCATTTTCCCGAGAATACAAAAAGCTTGCGATTCAGAGAAGGGTTTTATAGGCAGAGAGAAAATGTTTCCCCCGTTGAAAACACAGATTGAGGGAACCATAAATATAAATTCCCCCAAGAATGTAATGGACATGCGAGAGAAGCTTCAATGGTGGGATTGTGCGACTAGCTACCTCAGAGACAAAAATAGAAATGGCTAGAGAAACGCAGCAGATCTGGCAGCATCTGTGGAAAGAAAACAGATTTAACGTCTCGAGTCGAGTGACCCTTAGAATAGCTATCTCAGGGAGTGTCTTGAGGTGAGCGACGTTGTTGCAGTTTAGGAACAAAGTGGATAAACGGGTGATATAAAACAGATAGAAAAAATAGTTTTGGGATATGACTGGAACCCGACTGGAGCAAATCTTTTGGAAGCGTTCGGTGAGCAGAGGGCAATTGCGTCCAGGTCAAGGTTAATTGTGACTGAAACAAATAATGATAACACACGCAGACAAGATAAATAGAAATAGCAGGACGTGAAAAAGGAAAGCAATGGAAAACAAGGGTGTTTAAAAATGCAAAGATGAAAACAGTGAAGAAATTTAAATTCTGGGAGGAAGGTGGTTCTTCCTTCCTGGAGGTAGCAGCGGGCACTCCAGGACCATGAACTGCAACACCCGCGACAAAGATCGCCAGCGGGAAATTCTGCCCTTCTAGTCTGAAACCTTGTTTCTACTTCCGATATTGCTTCCAAAATGCTGAAACTGAAGTCAACATTCCCTTAACCCTTTATAACCTAGCATATGCACTATATGCCTTTGTAATCATCTTCTCGAAATTATTCGGCTGAATGTGTATTTCACTCACTGTTGGGCAAAAATATCCTCTTTGAGGTGCTACAGCCAGAATTGATGGCATTGTTCCACACAACCGTCTGTTCGCGACAAACGACAACATCTCCCAGTCGCGAACCACTTCAACTCCCCCTCCCACTCCCTGGCGACATGTCCATCCGGGCCTCCTCCAGTGTCGCAATGACGTCACCGGGAACTGGAGTAGAAGCACCTCATATTCTGCCTTGGAAGTCTACAACCAAATGGTCTCAATGTGGACTTTACTAGTTTCAAAATCTCCCCACTCCCGGCCTCATCCCATGACCAACTCTCCCTCTCATCCCCGCCTCCTTGACCTGACACAACCTGTCCGTCTACTTTCTGACCTATCCGCTCCTCCCACCTCACTGACCTGTCCCCACAATTGCCTACCTGCACTCGTCTATCATCATCCCACCTACCTTTCCCAGACCCACCCCCACCTTTCTATTTATTTCAGAGCTCCCTTCCCCCTCCCCCATTTCTAAAGAAGGGTCCCGACACGCAACATCAACTCTACTGCTTCTCTGATGCTGCCTGGCCTGCTGTGTTCCTCCAGCTCCACACTGTGTTGTCTCTGACTCCAGCATCTTACTATCTCTCAAGCAGAAGCTCCTCCATTTTGTATGTTATACTCTTGATAGAAAGGCTGAACTCGATTTGACCTGATGATTTCTTTCTGTGACCGTCCACCTTTTTCAGTGTTATGTAGATTTGGACAACTAAACGCCTTCGTTGTTTTTCGCCAGTTAGAAAGTGCCCTGATCTATCTGCCTTCGACGTATCTTTGTTCAAATTCGAACCCCCATTAAATTCACCATATTTTAGTAATCGGTTTAGGTACAGCTACCAACTTCTTACTCCCATTTCGCATCCAATAGTAGAGAGCGTTAAGGTGGGGTAGGGAGGTTTTAATCAGATAGGGAGGTGCTGGGCAGCCAGAGAGTGAGTTTTCCAGGCAACCAATCACAGAGAGGGAGGCACAGGGTTATTGGAGAGGTTGGTAGTGTCGAAAACCGCGTCACTTAAGAACATTAGAAATAAAAATAACTGCCTGTTGTTTCTGATTTCTACAGGGATTTGAAAACAGCTGATTATTCCTCACAAGTTTCTGTACTCCAGTTATCGTTCACTTTAAAATCTGAATCTACATTTCCTGCAAAGGGAGAGGAACTGCAGTGGAGCAAGGAGGAGCGCAGAAGCGGTTACATTATCGGTACAGCCAACAGTGCATGTTTAGCTCCGATGGTACAAATATAGTGGACCCGAAGGAAGAGGTGGACAGTTAGACCTCCGAACAACCGATCGGCAACCCGTTTAACCTGAAGTCTTCCAGGCTGAAGACAGAGCATTCGGCTGGAGTCTTCAAAATCACTCCGCGTAATTGACAAAAAAAAGCTCCAAAATGGCATACAAAAATTGTTCGAAGTTTTAGCTGGTTTTGTTGTTACAGAGATTAAGCGTTTATGACAATACGAAATGATTAAGGCTTAGAATAAGAGCGAGACAGTGAAACTGCAGATATATTGGGGAAAGTTCAAAGAAAACTGAACAAAAATAAACAAAACAGAGGGGCTACATAGTTCAGGAATGATTGCCAGTTGAGAAACAGAACTTTCTGCTCAGCGTCGTAACTTTGGGAAGCGAGAGGAAGACATTCAGCCCCGGTTGTGTTCCCTAGACAGGGGGGCAAAGAGGCCATTCAGTTCCCTCTGATTCTGTTAGATATCTGCTAGACACCGCTACATCCTCTAAAGTCACGTACACAGGAACAAGCTCGAAGCACCTCTTGCACCGTTGCAGAAGAGGGCAAACTTGATCACCTGAGGATCTGACAGATATTTTCAAATCAACCCGTTTAGAGATGCTGTTACACAACTTTGGAGTAGGTGGGGTTTGAACCCAGGCCTCCTGACTCAGAGGTAGGGAAGTTACCATTGCACCATAAAAGTCCTTCTGAGGCTGTTACACGGGAACTGGAGTCCGAGCCAGCTTCTGTGAGTCTACTACACAGGAATGTCAGGTGGGCTATTGTGACACTAATCTTGAACAGGATGTCATTTTATCCTTGTCCTTCCATTTAGTCCCAACATGACTCATGAGTCTTAACTCAATTTACCCACTATATTCATTAACAGTTGATATGCTCATTTGACAATAATATCCTAATCCCAGAACTGAAAGCCCCATCGGAAACATAACGTCACAAGACTGTCGAGGGGAGAGAGTTCTCGATTTCCATTAACCTTGGCCTGAGGATGCGATTTCTGACTTCATTCCTTCATTGAAGATAAGAGACATTTCACCGTGTCATGGGCACATGCACCTGAGGTATTACTTCCTTTCTCTACCATAGAAACATTAAAAAAACAGGATTAACCGTCGGCCATCGAGCCCTCAAACCTCTCCACTATTCAATGTGATCGCACCTGATCTCTTATGCCAATGCTATACTTCTGCTCTCTCGTCATATCCTTCGACGCCTTTAGTACAAAGAACAGTACAGCACAGGAACAGGCCATTCGGACTACCAAGACTGCAATTGACTCATGATGCATTTCTAAACTAAAAACCCTCCGCTTTAAGGGGTCGGTATTCTTCTTTTCCCTGCCTATTCATGTATCTGTCATGTATCTTAAACGTTGCTATTAAACGCCCAACCAGCTCCTCTCGTAGTGCATTCCAGGCACTTACCACTCTCTGTATTAAAAAAAAACCTGCCACTCACATCTTTAAACTTATCCTCTTTTTACCTTGAACCCACATCCCCTAGTAATTGACATAACCACCCTGGAAAAAAGACTCCAACTATCCTTTCTTTCCATGTTTCTCATAATTTTGTAAAATTTTATCCGGCCGCCCGTCATCTTTTGACTTTCAAATGAAAACAAACCAAGTTTGTCCAATCTCTCCTCACAGCTAATACCTTGGGAACCAGGTAACATCCTGGTAAAGCGTTTCTGACTCTCTCCAAAGCTTCCTCATCCTTCTGGTATTGTGAAGACCAGAACTGTGCAAAATATTCTAAATGTGGCCTAGCTCAACTTCTACACACCTGCAACATGACCTGCCAATTTCTATATTTTTTATTTATTTCGACCGATGAAGGCAAGTGTGCCATATGTCTTCTTGACCACCTCAGCAACCTGTGTTGCCACTTTCTGGGAATGGTGGATCTGTGTGCCTATATCTCCCTGTATGTTGATGCCACTAAGTGTTCTGACATTTGCTGTATATTTCTGTCCTAAATTAGATCTTCTAGACTGCATCACTGTGCAGTTGTCTGCATTAAACTCCATCTGCTGATTCTCCACCCAAGTCTCCATACTGTGTGTATCTTCCTATATCCTGTGGCAATCCTCCTCACCATCTGCAACTCCCCCAGTCTTTGTGTCATCCACAAACTTGTTAATTAGAACACCTACATTCTCCTTCAAATCATTTATTTGTACTACAAACAACAGGCGTTCCAGCACTGTTCCCCACGGAACACCACTGGTCACAGATCTCCAGTCAGAAAAACACCCTTCCACCACCACTCTCTGTCTTCTATGACTAAACCAGTTCTGTATCCATCTTACCAGTTCATTGCAGATCCCATCTTTTGTATCAGCATGCCAAGAGGGACGTTGTCAAAGACATTGCTAAAGCTCTGCCTTCACCAATTATCTTTATCAACGCTTAAAAAATATTAAGTTTGTGAGACACGACCTTCCCTGCACAAAGCCATGCTGCCCATTGCTAATAGATCTTATTTCTTCAAATGTGAACAAATACTAACCCCAATAATCTTCAAAAATAATTTCTCCACAACAGACGTAACGCTCACCAGTTTGTAAATTCCCAGATTATCCCTGTGGGCCTTTTTAAACAAAGGAACGCCGTTGGCTATTCCCCAGTCCACTGGGACCCACCCGTGAATAAAGACGATAGAAAGATTTCGTACAAGGCCTAGCAATTTCCTCAACTGCCTCCCTCGGCATTCCGGGATAGA